TGTTGTATCTGGGGTGATTAAGCCTGTTTGACCCTGCAAGCCAACCTGCAGAAATGGTCCCCAGTGTCCAGACTCCTTGGAACGTCCCTACTGAGTAGAATGAACCATGTCCAGTTTGACTGACTTCTGAAACTCTTCTCATCAGTTTTTGCCAGTGAGGCATGGATAATTACAAATTCAAAGACATTTCAAAATACAGCCAGGAATTACTCAACAATTGACAGATTCAAGAACAGCTAAAACATTATTTTGTATTTTATAGCCCTCATTATTGTATTTTTTTATTTCTATTTTTTCAAATTCATTTTATTCATAGATTAAAAGGGAAGAAAAAAAACCCACAACAAAATTTTAAAGTATATCAGTCAAGGGGTAACAGTGGTACATACATTGCACTTTGTCATCCCCAAATCATTAACCAGAGCACAAGATATCTGCCTTCAATACCAGTACAAATATTTCTCTTCAGTCAACTCAGAGAAATCAGTAGTGTAACTATCTTCACTGTTTTTTCATATGTATATATATATATATATACATATATATTCTTTTAGCTTGTCACATTAATGAAATAATATAGTTTGCATGTGTGTCTTATTAATTTCACTAATAAGTTCTCAAGGTGCATCCATTTATCTACGAAAGTGTCCAGTTTATCATTCTTTATGCCTGAGTAGCATTCCATTGTATAAAAATACCACATCTTTTTTATCCATCCCTTAGTTGATGGGCATTTAGGTTTCAAATATTTGGCTACTATACACTGAGATATCTGAGTGCACATATATCATTGTAGTACGAAGTTTTTAACTCTTTTATGAAGGTACCCAGAAGGGGAGTAGCTGGAGTGAATGGAGCCTCCAATCCTAATTTTTTGACAAATCCGATTTTCACACTGCACGCTGATTTCCACAATGGTTTCACCACTCTACATTCTCACCAACAGTGGAGAAGGGTTCCTTTTTCCTCACAGTCCCTCAAGCATTTATTATTGGTTGATTTCTTGATGGAAGCCATTCTTTCCAGGATGAGGTGAAATCTCAGTATTGTTTTATTTTGCGTCTCTCTAATGGCCAATGATGCTGAACATTTTTTCAACTATTTTTTCCACTGCCTGTATTTCTTCATCTGACAAGTACGTATTCATCTCAGATGCCTATTTATGGATGGGTAGACCTCATTATTTTAGAAGCTGATTTTTTCCTAAAACCCATGAAGGCTAGTTTCAAGGCCAAAAGGCTGGCAAGAACAAAACCCACCATAAAGGCAGAATAACCTCAAAAGCTGAGGCTAGAAAGCTCCCTTCTTGTATAAATTGGTCTATTACAAAAGAATCCATGTTCTGCCTTGAAACACCAGAAAACCACAAAAGGAAAAAAGGGTGAAATTGCCTTACATTTCCATCTTTCAATTTCCTTTTCTAAAGTGCTAGAAATAGAACCCAAGGCCTTGTACATGCTAGTCAATTAGTCCACCACTGAGCTACATCTCTGTCTTGTTTCACAAGACAAATAAATTACTATCAAAATGTTGGTATACTCCCTTTTAATGGTTTTTCTATACCTATTTTCCCATAGCTTAGTACAAGTACCATTTTATATGTGGCTTTTCAATATAATATTACTTTTGGTTTTGCACTGACATATAATTACTATACATATTCATGTGATAGACAGCCATAATCATTACACATTTACATAAAACAGGTTAGTTAATATTTCTACCTATGTTAGGTAGAACTGTCCCCTTGAGTGGGGAATGGCCAGGTGGATTGAGCCACCTGGCCATTTAATTGGGGTTGGAACACCCAATTAAAGAAGAACTGGTTTATACTGTCATAAAATGGAAAACCAAAGTGAAAAATTTCAGCTTATCTTCTTTGGAGGAGCTTCTTTGGGATCCGTTTTTCTTCATAGGAGTTTCAGCGTTTTTTTTTTTTTTTCCACAAGAGTTTTGGTTGTTCTTTTTCTTTAGGGGAGTGTCAATCCTCATCTTCATCTTGGACATCACCTCCCCGGCTTCCAATGCTGAACCCTCAGGGTGCTGACAGAGATCCTTCAATCCTTGTACACCGACATGCCAGCTTCCAGTGCCGGACCTTGGGCCTTTTTTGTGGAGACACTTTGGTCTCCTGTGGTGGATTCTTAGACTTCCTGGTGGACTTGCACTGGGCACTGCCAAGGGTCCAAGCCCTCAACGGGATCCTTTGTGACTCCAACCCACAGACAGACAGTTTCCACTCTTCTACATATCACTCTAGTAAACACTCACTAATTTAGGAGGTATGAACTGGAACATCCATAGTATAGGATTATCTTCAACATACCCTAAACCTTTGAGAACCACTGTCACCCTACAGGGCTATTGTATGAAATCTTTCATTTCTCTTATGCAATTATATTTTGTAAAGATATAAGTAATTTGCATTCATTTGAGAAAACTTTTAATTATTTTCTGAGAGGAGGGGGTAGGCGTAAAGGCAAGATCAGGGCAGGCAAAAAAGGGAGGAAGAGAGAGAGAGAGAAAGGTGATGAAAATCCAGAGGGGGAATGGGCCAGCTGAAGGGCGGGCCTAAAGAAAACTTTAGAAGATTAAAATTTAATAACAAATTCTCTCAAATGCACTAAAAGAAGAAACATACAGTCTCTATCTCCCCAGAGTCTTCTTATAATAGAAAAATCTTATAAATATTTATGTAGGTACTAAGAGAAAAGGAATAATTTTGCTACCACACTGTATGTTCATTCCTTTAGCATTATTCTTTCAAGCAACTGCACTTATACTCATATTTGAGAGAGTATGACTAAAGTAAAAGATCATATGAATATATCAGCATACCTATGTATACATTTCTATCAATTTTCAGAACAAGTAATAACATACATTTGTTATATGAATTGCTCTTTTCATTACATATATTTGTGACATTGGTACATATCAGCTGATCTTTGTTTTCATGGCTCAAAAGTATTCCAAACCACATTATTTATTCAGTTCTCTATCAATGTGTATTTCTGTTAATATCACAGCACAACAAACATTTATAGATGTTTCATATGTGTATAACACAGAGACTCATACACTCACACACACATACCCCTCTTATGTAGGAAGAGTTATAAGTCATTTCTAGCAATGACATTGCAAATTAAAGGAATAATTTGTTAAAAATTTTAAAGTTTGAAATGCATTGCCTGTTTCCACACAGTCTCTGCTTGTGAGCCAGTTAAGGCTTCCCTCAGGAAAGTAGGCTCAAATCAGTCAGACCACTCACATGGCGGCTGAATTATCAATAAGGATTCTAGCAAACAAGGTAGAAGTTATAGCGTCATTTGTGACATAGCCTCAAAAACATGCAGAACTGCTGCTTCCACAGAGGTCTATTCAGACACAACCACAGGAGGCACAGACCCCACCTTCTGATGTGCAGAGTCACAGTCACACTCAGGTTGTCACGCAGAAGGAGAGACGCTGTTCCAGATATTTAAAAACACTAAGTATTCCCATTCTCCAGTGGGTTTGAATAAATATACTTTTATAGAGTGTATTACAATACCTATTTCCCAAACCCTTTGAAAATATGATTGCTTAAAAATGATTCATTACTCATTTAGTTTACATTTGTATACCTTTAAAGATGAGTAAGATTTCCTATCTTGATCAGCCCTTTAGATTTCTATTCCTGGTATCTGACCATTATAAACTTCTGTATTGAATGGTTATTAATAACCAGAGCACTTAGGAAATGAAGAACATTGCCCCTTTCATTGTGATTATCAGTAGGTGTGGATACTGGGCTTCTTTGACTTGAGAGCTTTGTTCTTCTTCGTCATACTAAAATGTATAATCTATAGTCACATTTATCAATATTTTCTATTTTACTTTCTGAATTATTTGCCCCTAAAGCAGTAATGACTTGACATAAAAGATTACCTTTGCTTACCATTAGTTTTAATAATCTACAATATTTTCTAGGTTTTGGTCATTTTACCTTATAATCTGTTATATGTTACGTGAATCCATTAATACTGAACAGTCTACATTCTTGAGATAGTCCTGAGTCAGTACATACTAATTTTTATATATTTTTCATTCTGGCATTTTCTCTAACCTGAAGATTTTTCTCGAATGACAAAAGTATCACAATCTGTACCTGTGTGTAATTTACTCCTGTTATTTTCACACTGCTTTCCTTTAGCAATCATTACATTTGTTGGTACAGATGGACGTTATGAGACTTTTATACTAACCCTAAGATTTTCCTAGAATCACGAAAATTTGCATTTCATGGGTATCCAAAACATAATCAAACTACCAAGGTCATTTTACAAAGTCACATTTCCCCTACAACAGGAAACTGGATCTATGAATCTTGGTTATTACTCACACACATAGGTACAGAGGTGCTGAAATTACATCATGAACAACGCAAATCCAGAGTCTGTCCAAGTGAAAGAAGCTTTAAAAACTGAAACAAAATCCAGATCATAAAAAGGACAAAGTTCACCCTCACACAGAACACACTTTCTCAGCACACGCCTTTGGGTGCCTGTGAAGACCCTGGGCACAGGGCTCTAAGCCTTCTCTCTGCAGCCCTCAGCCTCACCCTGGCTTCTGCAGCCCTGAGCCCAGGTCCCTGAAGGAAGCCTCGCCCCCTCCAAGCCCAGTAACCTTGTCTGAGGGGGCGCCTGAGTCTTGAGAAGCTGAGGGCGGTCCTGTCAGTTCTCTCAGCCACACAGCGCTGAGTGCCAAATCCCCCTGGCGTCCTCTTCCTAGCCCTCCGCGCCCCTTTCCCGCCGCCACCACCGCCCGGGCGCCCCGCACGCCCTCCACGCCGCAGCCCGCGCTCCCGGAGCCCCGCGCCCTCGGGAAAGTGCTCCCCGCCGGAAACGGCGCCTCCTCACAGAGACATCCGGAGACGCCGCCCCGGCCCAGCCCAGCGGGTGCTGCGGCTAGGCCGCCACTGGGCCCGCTGCGGGCGCCCGGTCCCTCTGACTCACTGCTTCAGCTCCGAACCTGACGGAGGAGCCGCGCAGGGGCCTCGCGGGCGGCAGCACCCGCGGAAACCGCAGCTCAGCTGCGCAGCTTCCCACTTCCCTCGGGGCCCACAGCTCCGCCCTCCCCCACCCAGGCCGCTGCGGCTGTGCCCGCGCGCCCCCTCGCGGCCGCCCGCTGAAGCGCGGAGCGCTCAGAAGTCTACAGCTGTCTCCTGAGGGCAGCAGGGAAGGAGGCCTGCTGCAGCCCTGCCTGCTCACATGCCTGGAGCCTGCCTTGGGGGCTGTAAGCCAGGGAAGCAGGTCTGCTCCTATGGAGCTGCTAGGGATCCCGTCTCAGAAATGCCTAAAGGGCACAACGGGTTTCTACTTTTCCTTGGAAAAACGTCAAATACTTTCCTTATGCTCAGTAACACACCAGCCCTGAGGGGTCACCCTCAGCTTCTCCAGCAGATCTCCCATCTTTTCAGCCAGGAGGACAAGCTTGCTACTGGGGCAGAGGTGGTCTATGAGCCACTCCTCACCAGGCTTGCTCAGATGCTGGACCACCTGAAGCTGACACAGGCGGAGAGTCTCGGATTCTCCTTCTTTGGATTTGCTGTCCTAAAAAATTTGCAAGGAATCGTCTGTGCCCTAAACAAAAAAGGAATACAGTGCCTGTCCTTGGGACATTGAGAGAGGGCATTCAGCAGTGCTTCTCACTCATTAGCAGTTCCTTGGGGAAAGTCAGCAAATGAAGAAGCAAGCTCAATTCTTGACTCTAGCCCTGCCATCAGTTTCCTAAGCCCAAAAGGCAAACTCAACTCAGGTTTTTGTTGCAGCTGAAAAATATCTGAAATCAAATCATCACATTTTTATCATATACTGTTCATTATTCATTATAAATAAAAATCGATGTAGAAATCGATTCTAGAAATAATGTTAGAACTTCTGATGTTTTCTTGTGAAATTCTTGAAGATAATCTGCAGTTTCTAAAGTCCTATATGTTTGTAACAAAGATTATTCAATAGGATATTTTAAAAAGATTTTTCAGTGAAATTACTAGATTAAAAATCTACCAGTAATTAGAATACAGCACAAATTTATCTTTCTTTTACATTAGAGCTTAATGCATGAATTCTAGATCAGATCATTCGTTTAACTTACCCTCACGGGGTGATCCAGGATTTAAAGGATGTCTACATTTTGGCCTTGACATCTTCCACATATGACTGCAAATGTGTCTATAGTGCTTCCCTTGCAAAGTGAAAAGCTATAGTGAAACACAAGGGTGTGTTTTCATGGCCCTACACTCTCAGCAAAAAATCACTTCCTTCCAAAATCAATCCAGATGTATACTCATATACTTAGGATGCAAATAATATTAGAAAGGAATTGCATCTGGGTGACTAGTGGGAAGAAATGACAAGTTCTTTCAATGAAACCATCCTTCATTGTACAACACGTACATTAATGCTGTTTTTTACAGGAACAATAACCAATTTTAATTTAGCACTCATTTTATGAAAATAAGTCTGTACCAAAGTCTAATTCTGCAATTTTACATATAGGACATGTTTCATTGTTTCGAGTTCCCAGCCTCTTATTTACCAGTTTGGAGGAAAGATCTTGGACCACATTATGAAATTAAAGTTCTGTCCTGAATACTTGAGGAAATAAGGAATGCATGGTCCTGTGACTTCTTGCAGGTTCTTGAAGAGCTCTGTCACAACTGAAGAGAATGAGTCTTTCATTACTACCAAATTCATTGTTTCTCACTAGTATTCTAATTAAAACAAATAGAAACTTGATTAAAATATTCTCCAACAAAGTATTTGCTCTTTTGTGTAATCAATACAATATTGTAATAAAATTATTTGAACAACTTTGATGAGTATAAAAAGTATCTTGACATCTATTTCCTCTCCATTCATGTTTTTTGTGTGTAATTGTATTATTTCTCTAGAATTAACAATTAGATTTCCTCTCATAAATATTGACTGGTAGGATCCTATCCCTCTGGGATTTTCAAAGCAGTCTAGCTACAAGTTGTCCTTAGATAATTATTGAGGCTCCTTCCAATATAAAAAAGTAAACTAAGGGCTGTGACCATACTCAATGTAAAGGGCCGAGTTGCAATCCACAGTACAAGAAAAAGGAAAAAGTACATATAGCATAGCTCCTGAAATGTTAGAGATTGAACAAAAGTACATCCATTTGATAAGATAATTTCTATGCTTAGAGATATCACACAAATTCCTGGATATGAAGTCTAAAAAAGAAATGGGTCAATTATTAAAGAGTATACCTCTGAGTTAGAGAAGTATAAACAAGTGAATAAAGCAATGAATAAAGCAGAGTGGGAACATTTTTTTTTGCAAAAAACATGAATCAGAGGCTCAAAATACATTTATATTTCAACCTGATGTAAGGCTGTAATTTTGAATGCCAAATTTCAGAAATCAAACAGAAATGAAGCACTTAAGCCTATATGAATTAAAATACAAAAAAGTACCAAATGATTATTCAACTTTTTTGTGTATGAGGAATTTCAAAACCTTCAACAGATAATTTTGCTGTAATTACATCAGTCAAGATTCATTTTAAAAAACAAAAGTCAAAGCCACATTAGCTTCATTTCTATGCTTTTTTTTGCAAACATTATCTCCAACTGCAAAAATACTCTTTATTTCAATTCCTGTTCTCCAGTTCAGTGGTAACATTGCCCAAAATTTAGGACCAAATCCTCAACGGAACTTAGTATAATTATAACAGAAGCCAAGGCTATTTCCCTATGAATAAGAAGTACCAAGTAGCTGACTAGGTGGGAAACCACAGTGTTTCTCATCTAAATTATCTTGGAACATGCTAGATTCTTCATTCCTCCAGATCTTTTCTAATTTTTCACCACAATCCATTCAGGGAGATTTGGACATAGGAACTCTGGGTCACAGCTCCTTGACTTCATTTTATTTAGGTCCTTTATTTCACTTTGCTTCAGTTCATGTCTTAAGACTCATAGCTAGGGTCATAAAGTGTCTTTTCCAAATATATTCAAGTTAATGAACATACATTCTAAAGAAGACAAAGACAAGAAAATAAACTATGTCTATAAAATGCACAAGGTTATTGACTAAGTATCATGTCTGATTTAATCAAATAGCATTTTTCAGTCAAGGACAGTGAGGAGATCTGAAGAGAAAGAAGCTGCTATTTCACAAGCAAACTGAAAGTGTATTTATAATTTATTTCTGTTAAACTTACTGGAACATACAGATCAGTCCAGAGGCAGGTCTGGTTCTTATGGTCAGAAATATCCCCCAGACAGCAGGTAAATGCTTAAGACTGAGAGTGGTATTTTCTCTCATGGTGGAGTCAACAGTGACTGCATAGCTCCTGGGCTCCCTGTGCTTTCATAGTTCCTGTTGTAAATGGGAATAAGAGTGGAACCGTTCAATGGGTGCTTTAGTCACTGATGTCTCCATTTGCTTAATGGACTCAGGACAGGATAGGGTTTCACTAGTTACAAAGTGCTAGGTTATTGTTCACAGAAAGAAGTGAGAATTGATTGGGTAAATGCTAAGATTTGTGTCTGACTTACAATAAGCAAGAGGGAATAATCATTGATCTTTGAGCCAGAAACCTTGCTGTCTTTATCTACATTGCTTTAAACATCTTCCTGTGCTTTGGTCTATCTACAACTTGTTCTCCATCTTCCTGGGCACAAGGGACCAGACTATCTTTGTTCTAATTTCCCTAGCAGGATATTTCTTTCATACTTTCATTATTTTTTTCACATTGGCACACAATTTTGTTGTCTGTTTGTCTACAGTCAGTGCAATGTAAAAATAAACAACATTTGCTTAGTATGAAAAAGAAAATGTGAGCGAATATCTGTTGTATTGCATGATACACAGGATAATACTACAGCCCATTTCCTTTGTATATGTGCTTCTTCAGTTATTTGAATCCTAATGCAAGTTTTTAAAAGGTCAGCCTGATATAAATGAATATGAAAAACATGTTTCAAACATGTATTCACTTTCGAGATGACATAATTCTCTCATACATCAAAATTGATTAGTGGAATTATGAGCAACCTGACATATTACAATGGACTGAAGCCCTCTAAACATGACTCTAAGTTAAAATTATTACTTAGAACTTATTTTGCCTACCTTTCTATAGAACATGAAAGACAGAGACAACAATTCATGAAAAATGCCCAAAATACACAAGAGATACCTGCTGCAATCCTGGGGACCATCATGAGTGTGATTGGAAGATTTTTTTTTACCTCCCTATTTTACACCTGGTTTGTGCTCCTTAAGTATTGAGAGCCACTGATTATGTTGTTTTGATCCTCGGTGCATTTTAGATTTGATCCTCAGTGCTTCTAAATATGTCCTAGGTTATGGGAAGCAAACTGAAAGTGTATTTATTATTTATTTCTGTTAAACTTGATGAACACATCAAGAATTATGTTCAGTTTAGAGAAGAAACAGTTTTTACTAAGCCTAAATAAGTCTAGTAGTTAAACTAATTGAAGAGTATTATGTCATATTAAACAAAATGAAAATATTTTGTACTACCATTGAAAGTTAAAAATGGTATACTTAAGTATTTTAGTGTTTCTGAAAGACATTTAAAAATTTCACTATACTAAAGTAAGTTTTATAAACTGAAAAATTTGAACATAATGTGACTCATTCAAATTTATATAAATATATACATGAACCAAAATCACTAAATTGTAAGTATATATACATTAATATATGTAGAAAATCATAGAATATAAATTATAGCAAACAAAAGTAAATTATTTTTGAAGTTAATTACGAATAGATACATATCATTTTACTTATTATAATCATTTTTTGGTCTTTTTGAGAAAGGAACTTACTATGCAATTCAGGTTGGCCTTGAGCTCACTTTATAGCCCAGGCTGGTTTCAAACTTGCAATGATTCTCCTGCCTATAATCCCAAATGCTGGGATTATAGACCTGTGCCACTATGCCTGGCTGTTTTTTTTTTTTTTTTACTGTTTTCATTTTTATTGGCATGTATGCAGTACATAATGTTTACAAGCTTGTGCAAAGTTGACACATGAACATCACACATCTTAAATTCTTTTTAATCCCTTTTCCATTCTCACCTTTCCCAACCTCTTGATCCTATTACCTTTGAAAAAGATCTATCTTTCATGTTCCTGCTATGCATCTTTTATTTCCTTATTATATAAATAATTTGGATTTCTCATGTAAGGGAAACTATAGAAGATTTAGCTTATTAGTCTGATTTATTTCAGTTAACTTAAAGGTCTCAAGTTCATCCACTTCCTCACAAATGAATAAGGTCTATTTTTCTTCATGGCAGAATAGTACTCTGTTACACATGAATACCACTCTGGCTTATGCACATGACCAATAAACATATAGAGTACTATGAGATTAAGGTACTATGAATTGTGCTATTGTAGCTTTTAAATGTAATTTTTAGCTTAAATTTTTCTTTAATCATGCTTAAAACTGTTATTAAATAAAATCACAGTCTGTAGATATAAAACAAAAAGAAATCACACAAATTTCTGGAGAGGTATTCTGAAAATGAAATTGGCCCGTTATTAAAGCTACAACTCTAGTAGCCATGAATGAAGAATGAGGAATTTTCAAGGAACCCATTGGACCAGGGCCTCAAAATCCATTGGTGTTTCAATGTGAACTGGTATTCTACATATTCTATGTCAAATATTGAAAACCAATAGAAATGGAGCCTACAATCCTATAAAATAGATGTAAGTAAAGCAATGAAAAGAGTGTTTGCAATTTTGTAGCCTGTAAGGAGAATTCATGGCTTTGAAGGATGATGCTGAAGTTATCCATCTCATAAAGAACTATGTACAAGAGTTGAACACATAAAAACTACATTTACATGTTCATTTTAGGAAAATCATTTTGTACCACAGTAAAAATATTCTTTTACTCTTAATATCTCTTGTTTTGTCTCTGTCATACTATTTCCAACTTGGAACCAAAGGCTAAAAGTAAATCAGTCTAATCAAGACAGCACTGAAACCTAGCAGTCTACAAATAAGGAGCACTGAGCAGCTGACCAGGCAGCTTCCCAGAACATATTTCATCTGAGCCACCAAACTGTAATGTGCTGGACTCGCATTATTCTCCACCAAATGCTTCCACCACTCATCCATTCAGTGATGTTTGCAGATGTGAGCTCTGACCCTCAGGTCTTTGATTTCATTCATACTTAGTTCATATCTTAAGACACGAAACCTGGGGGTACAACAAAACTAAATATGGAGCCATATCCATCTAGTAGACTAGGTTAGAGATTAAATATATGTCTGAATTAAGCAAAAAAAGTTTTCAGTGAAGGAGAGCCATGAGAATTGAAGAGAAACAACCTGGCATTCTACAGGCAGGAGGCTACTTACTAGAAAACACGGATCAGGCGAGAGGCAGCTTTCCTTTTCATGGTCAAAAATATCCACAGAGAACAGATAAGAGCTGAGAAGTCACAGTGGTATTATGTCTCTCAGAAATGATGGAGTCGACAGTGTCTACACAGTACATGACTTTTTTGTGCTTTCATGGTTCCTGTTAATTGAGAATAAGAGTAGAATCTCTTGTTGTCTTCTCTCTTTACTAATGTTTCTGCTGGCTTAAAAAGTCTGTACACAAAGCAAGTTTTTCACAGATATCAAAGTGAGAATAGTATCCAGTAAGTTCCATGATGATTGATTTTCTAAATATTAAGAGCAGTGTCTGACTTGCAAGAGATACTAACAAAATTTAATGATTTATTCCTTCTACTAATATTAACTATTTAGTTGAAATGAACTAAGTGAATGTAAGTGTCCTCTGAAATAATTACTTTATTTGCTTCTTTCTTGGCATTACAGTAGGAATATTTTTTTTTGGTCTTTTTTCGTTTCATTTTTATCGGTACCAGGGATCAAACTCATGACTGCCTGCTTTGCAAGGCAGGTGCTTATGCCGCTGAGCTAAATCCCCAGCCCCTACAATAGGAATATTAATGTTCTGATTTTAATTATCTTCTAGGTGAAACCTTGATGGAACTAATACTGCACAATATCCAGAGAGAATGCTGTGCTCTGAGAAGTTTCTATATCTGTGCATAAAATTGTGAGCTGGTTAATGTATCTTCCTTTCCTCTGTCAGATGACAGGATGCACCAAACATGAAGAACACTCTGGACCAAGCAATAATCACATATTTTTGAGCCAGGTGTCTGTGCTATCTGTGCTTTCACCAAAAACTTACTCTCTCTCTTTCTGGGCACAAGACTATAAGTTATATTTGTCACTCATTTCCTCAGCAGCATATTCCTTTCTTACTTGCATTATTTTCACCTTTGCACACACTTTTGTTTTCTATTCATCCATAGTCATTGTGACACAAAAAGAAACAAGTTTTGCTTTCTATGAAAAAGGAAATGTGAATCAATATCTGTTTTATTGTATGATACACAGGATAACTGTTCAGCCCAATTGATTTTATGCATTACATAATTCAGTTATTTCAATCCTAATGCAAGTTTTGAAAAGACTAATCTGATCCGAATCAATGACAGATAGTTACAACCATATATTGTCTTTGGGAATGATATAGTTCCCATGTGTAGAAAAGTTAATTAATGAGAAGATGAATGATCTGAGGTATTACAATGATCTATAGCCCTACAAACACAACTCTAAATTAATATTTTCTCTTAAAATTTACTTTGAGTATCCTTGTACATAATGTGAAAGACATACCAACTGATTCATGAAGTATATACAAAGTGCATGAAACATACATGCTACTATCAGCAGATAATTGATATTGGCAGATATATTTTCCACTGTGTGTACCTCATCTCCCTTCCCAAATCTTTTGGGAAGCCACTGGTTATCTTGCATGTCTATCTTATATTTCATTGTCAGCGCTTCCAAATCCACTAGAAGTTGTTGAAATCAAACACAAGTTGTATTTAGTGTTTAATTCTATTAATCTTATAGAACACAACAGTGATTATGTTCAGTGCTAAATAAAAAAGTTTTTACTTTGTCTAAATTATTGTGTAGCAGCTAATGAAGTTGAACATTGTTAATGTGAAAGAAAATTAAAACATTTTACTCTAAACACACAAGTTGAAAAGAATTTATATGTTTTAGCAGTTTTAAATGTTGTTTAAAGATTGCCTTGCAGGCCAGTATAGGAAGATGGAAGCTTGACAGGTATCAGGGTGGAGAACCTCTCTGAGAAAAACAACTCAGATGCTAGAATTTAACACCATGGAGAAGACCAGATGAAAGGAGAGGGATTTTCATGACCCAGGAAGAAACTGAGGAAAAAGGAAAAGAAAAAGAAAGGAAGAAAAACGTGGATGAAAGGCTGGAACCAGACCTCATTGGGGCTGGGCCTATGCTGTGCTGGGTGCATCTTATAGTTGGATGATTCACAGTTGCACTGAAATCACAGCCACTGAAATTGGGAGTTGGTGAGTCAAGGGCCCTTGGCAGGAGGATGCAGCACAATAGAGAGTGGAACCAATGCAGTGAGCTGCATTAATCTGCAGTGAGTGCTAGGAATTGGGTCCCGTGGTGGGGGTGACCAGCTGGATGACATATTGGAGTTGGGCAGGATGCGCCTCAACCCAGAACCGCAGTGGCAACAGTCAGCCACCCCCGGCCCAAAGAAGACTGGTGAGATCTGCTTGGGCTGGGTCATGCCCTTGATTGGGACCCAATAGTCAGGGGTGAAACTGTCCTGAACCTGTAATGTCTACACTCCACAGACTAAGGTGCTGAAGACACTCACCGGTTGACTGGCTCAGAGGAGAAGGGCCAGCCCATATCATCCCTGCGTGCACCTCAGATCAACAGTAAACTGAAGAGGGCAGCAAGCCCCTAGCTAGCACGCTTCAGAAAAACTGTAAGCAATAAGGAAAGGGCCTGAAACCCCCACCATACACCTGTCTGAAAGAAACCAGAAACATTACAAGAGGAAAAAAAAAAAACAGCCTCCAACCACTGATCCAGGGAAAGTAAGTCAAGGAGAGGTAAACAAAGAAGAGATCCAGGACAGCAATTATGCAATATCAGCCACAGCATTAGTGGACATAAAGAAATACCTTCGTGACCTCATAGATGAACTTAAAACTGAAGTTCTAATTCAAATGAGGCATGATATAAAAAGATTAATAAAAGAAATGCTAAGGTCCTCTCAAGAAGACACAGATGGAAGAATGGATGAACTGAGAAAAAGAAGAGAAACCTTTGATAAAGAATATAAACAAAATCTAGAATACATAAAACAGATCTAAAGAGATTACCAGGAAATTAAAAACTCCACTGAAAGCTGGCAAAATTCCTTGACAGAAACTAAAGTTAGACTTTCAAGACTTGAAGATAGACTTGCAATGTGTGATAGTGAAAGAAAAGATCTCTTAAAAATAGCAAGGAACCAGGAAGTAACAATACAAAGGCTAGAAGATGACAAGAGGACCTATAACTTAAGAATAAAATATGTGAGTGAAGAAGCAGGAGTAAACACAAATGAATTACAAAAGCTATTCACAGAAATAATTAAGGAAAACTTCCCAAGCATAGGAAAAGGAAATGATACCCAGATAAATGAGGCATACAGAACTCTAGCCAACTGCAACCAAAGCAGAGCTACACCCAGACATATAATAATCAAGATCCCAGAAATTAGTCACAAGAACAGAATATTAAAAGCAGTCAGAGAAAAGTAGCAGATCACCTATAAAGGAAAACCCATCAGAATCATGGCAGACTTCTTAACACAAACTATCAAATCAAGAAGAGCTTGGAGCGAAGTAGTCCAAGCCCTGAAAGAAAATAACCTCCAACCCAGATTGATGTACCCCGTAAAACTCTCTCTCAAAATTAATGGGGAAACAAGATGTTTCCATGACAAAGAGGAACTGTGGGAGTTTGTGACCACCAATCCAACCCTACAAAAAATATTGAAGGACATTCTAGAGAAAGAGAAAACAAATACCAGGATTCCAGCAACAGTGGTAGAGAGGCCTCAATGACCATGGCAGACAGTGGACTGAAGGAGAAAAGTAGACAATCAATAGCAGAAAAATAGCATAGCAGAGATGAGGCAGAGAAGGTTAGCTATACTTTCTAATATAGATGGTCTTGATACACTAACAAAAAGAAACACAGGCAGAGTAGATCAGGAGTTAGGGTCCATTGAGATGCTCTGAATAGGAAATATACTCAACCTGGAAGAGGTTTAATAAACCAAAAGTCAAAGATGAGAAAACGATGCTCTATGTGACAGGGAACCAGAGAGAAATAGAGACAGCTCGTCCAGCAGCTGCAGATAGGTTGGAAAGTCATGACATTTTTGTGCAGTGGAGAACTACTCAGTTATAAGGAAGGTAAACCTTGAGGTTTTAGTAGGTAAAGGAATACAGCTCAAGATCAAGCTCAGGGGTTGCCTCCCTAATCTAAAAAATAAAGGAGTTAGTGCCACCCAAAATGTACAAAGCATTCTGAGAGGGAAAGGGGAGGAATTGTTTAAAAAAGGAAGGCAGAGGACATCGTTAATAGTGTATCAGGATTTAAAAGCCACATTACTCTTATCGCTCTGTTTAGTTTGATTTTATTCTGTTCCAGTCTGTCTACTCATACTAGATTTGAGGGTACAGACAGCTATCCCCAAAATAGCAGGATATACTATGGTAACTATCCTTAATTTCTTATAAACTTGAACTGAAGCCCTGTACTACTTACATTGTCTTATTACGACTGATCTTATTTTAATCTGGTTTGTTACATTGCTGTTTTGCTTGACTGACTTTATTTGAATTTGGTATGCTTGATAGTATTAAGTCTAAGAGTAGAGGCAACTACTCTGAAGATGACAAGATGCAATAAGATACCCATTCCAGTTTGATTATTAACTGCTTTTAAAGTCCTACAATGTCTCCAATGTTGTGTTTTTATTAATATTGCTATGTTCAATTATATTATGCCTGATTATATAGAAAATTCTATTGAAAATAACAAGAGACAGCATAGTAACTACTGTAGATCACCTAGTATTGTGGTTTTATATGTCTTTTTCATTTCATGTTTTTCTAGGAATTTGTTGTCTTGTTTTGATCTGTTTTTCCCTATAATAGAAAGGATAGGTATACATGTAGAGATTCACACATGTGTAGAATTTCTAAACAGTTTATGAGAATAGATTATATAATGCATGATGTAATGAACAGATACTCTGAAGAAGAAGAAACCCTCAGATACCCAGTGCTAATTCTGTAGCATTATAATATAAAATCGAGCAATACAATTATTCTGTGTTCAGAGTGATATTAGTCTATTTTCTTTTTTTAAATTCAACATATGTAAAGATATGGAGAGCTATTTAAGAGCATGAGAGACATTATGGCAGCCATGGTTGATTCCTCTATTGTCTGGTCTTGAAGACCTAAAATATTTTCATCATCCTGTTCTGATCAGTTTAGTACTACATTGTTCAGTATGTTTTCACTGTGTGTGAACATATGGACAACTATTTGGAAGCAAACAAGAGACAATATTATAGACAGTGGAGATCTCTGGTGGTCTTGTTTTGAAATCTGTGTTTCTTAAATTGTTTTCTGTTTTGTTCTGTTTAATTTTACCCTCCTTAAAATTAAAAAAAATTTTTTTAAAAAAAGATTGTCTTGCACCAGTATATATGTTTATAAATTTATAAACTATAAAATTATAAAATGTGAATCACCATGCATTCAACTAAAACCGAAATGGATCAAACACCTAAATATTAAATCTGAAACACTAAACCTGGTGGAAGAAAGAATAGGCGGCACTTGTGAGGTCATTGCTATAGACCAAGATTTCATGAACAAAAACCTAATCACACAGGCAATGAGAAAAAAGTAAGTGGGATATCATTCTATTAAAAGGCCTTTGCATATCAAAACAAATCACCAACAGAATGAAAAGATAATACACAGAGTGGGGAAAACTTTCAGCTAGTTCTTCTTCAAAGGACTTATATCTGGAACATATAAAGAACTGAAAAAAATAACAGACACTTCCCCAAATTTAAAGATCCATTTAAAAATGTGTACCTTTGAGGAATACACACTTTTCAGATGAAAAAAATACAAGTGAAAAATAAATATAACAAAAAAGGTTGAAAATCACTGATTATTACAGACACACAAATTAAAAGAAAGCTGACATTTCATCTCACTCAAGAAAAAAATGACTAAAGAACTTAATGAGTACTGGAGGGGATGTGAGGAAAAAGGAACCACAGTCTACCACTGGTGAGAGTGTAGACTTGTACAACTACTATGGAAAGCAGTATGAAGACTCTTAAAAAAAACTAGGATTAGAGGTTCCATTTGAATCAGATATTTGTCTTTTGGATTTCTGTCTGGAAGAATTAAAACATCATACCACAGTGATATTTGCATACCCAAGTTGGCAGCAGCACAGTTTATATCTTAACCCTGGAAACAAGCCAATGTCCATCAACTTAATAAACAAGATGTGTTTTTTATGAAATGGAGTACTACTAAAGAAGCACAACTTTGAGCCATTTGGAGATAAATAGATGCAATTTGACACCATATTCTTAGGTGAAATAAACCATACTCACAAGTGTAATAACCATATTGTCTCCCACCATTGATAAATTGAAAAAGCAAACAAGGATCAAAATAAAAAGCAGATACTGTGAAACAGAAAAAAATTGTTTAAAAGAAAAGTGCAACTGAAGTGGGTGAAGGCAGAAGTAAGAAAGGAAAAATCAATCATGAAAAGATAATATGAAAATTAAATTTATAAATAGACAAAGGAAGAGGGGTTGAAGAGAGGAGAAGGAATTGGGGAAAAAGAGTCAAAACATAACAAACACAGGTATAAGTACTATATCATTAATAAGATCATTACATTTTCTAAAATATACCAATAAATTTAATTTTTGAAAATGTAAGAAAAGAAGTTGCTGAGTGAATCCTTGACTTATAAAGATAATTTATTGACAAGTATAGCTTGTAACTCAAGTTGGTTATAAGTCAAGACTTCTTTTCCCATAAATAATGAAATAACTTTAATAGATTCCAAACCTAACAAAGCACCCCAAAGTTAATTTTGTCATCATAAAAAAGCTTATATAATACATGACTTATCAGAAACACCAATAATCTTCTTAGTGTATGCATCAAAAAGTGATAAAATGTGCCTACTATCACACTGTACACACCAATCAAGGTGACATCTACGGTTTTCAGGACGAGGAGATGGGATGGAAGGTAGTTATTCTTTAGCAGGAGATTTCTCTTCCATAAGAACACTAGGAACCTGGCTGTCTAGTGTCCTTCTCTATTTGGGAGAATCTACAGTCCACTAGGATCTCCTTTCTGGTTCACTAGAATTCAACTTTTTCAGAGCTAAAAACTGGTCTAAGGCTACCCTTTTTCTCCTTTAACATTGTTCTTTTTGATTGAGATTGTATATTACTGAAATAAATATGCATAAATATATTAAATATAGATGACAACATGTAGGCCATATCCATGCCAATGAATTTTAATTAGGCCTTAATTTAGGAAAACATCACCTATGTAGCTGTATATATTATGTGTACTTAAGGCAATGATGAAAACGAAGTGGATGAGAACTTCACTCAAAAGCCCAGTAGAGAAAGCAAAAAGGAACAGGAAAACAGAA